TTTTTTTGTGGGGGGGGGTGGGGGGGTTGGAGAAAAATATTCCTTTGCTCTTGTGTTAACTCTTGCACACCACATAAAAAAAATAAAGTTAAAGCACTAGCTGTGTGCATATACTCCATCACACAGAAGTGACAATACACACCTTTATGAATAAATGCAGAAAATCAAATAAGGAAGTTATTTAAAAACAGAGCAAAAATGCTGGAATGTGCCACCATGGGCAGGACAAAAGAGTATTTAAAAATAGGATTACCTATTTAATTACATATTTTAATGTGTTTTTAGAAGGTGATTCTGATGGATTTTAAAAAGAAAAGTTATCTAATCCTTTCCAAGTACTTCAACATAAAATTCTGGAATGGAAGGAAAAGCTGGAGAATAAAGTGGGAAAGTTAGGAGACTCAATGTTCCAATAGTAGTCAAGAAGTACCACTGTAAACGTTATTTTACTTTGGTTTATTATCTTAACATTATGAAAAATAGAGCAGCTGATTTACTTTTGGGACATTGTAACCCTTGTTAAAAATGGAATATTTCCATTCACACGACCCTGATTCCCCCGACTTAAAAATTAATGCAGATTAAAATAGGTGATTGTATTGTTCAGTAGCCCAACAGAAGCAAACTAAAAGTTCTATAGCACTGTGCAACTGCTTACATACACACACACACACACACACAAATACATCATGTGTAGGTCTATGCCTATAACATTTTCTTATCACTAGGTGATTTTTCCTACTATTTAAATGTGAGTATGTTTGGAAATTTTTAGTATTAATTTGAGAAGAGCACTGAAGCTGAGCACAGTCTCAAACTAACAACCCTCAACAGGCATGCATATTCTAATTCTGGATTCATTTTTGAGCAACAAGAGACAACACTGACTTTCACTTCTAACCATTCTACTTTCATTCTATGCAAGAAACTGTCTCTAAAAAACATACTTTGTGGATGTTCCAACTATAACACGATCTATTGCTTACCTGATGGCAGTATAAGTATAAGCTGCCAGCTTAAGCTAAAGAGCAAAGGACATCTCCATAGCTTACAGCTTTAGCAATTCATAACCTTTGTGGAGCTGCACAGAGGCGAAGCTATATCTAACAGACACACATACACAAACTAAAAACCCAAGAGAGAAAGTTGTGAACACCTGAGCTAAATGACAAATGCTAGCCAGAAGTTTAAGCTCTGACCCTGAAAAAGTAGAGTTGTTACACCATGATGGTGTCTGTGAAAAATATTTATGAATAAGACATTCACTAAAGTCTGCATTACAATCACTCCAATGATGTCATTCCTTATATGCAGTCAGAATGTTTGTATTTGTTCTTAATAGCAGAAAACCAAAAGAAAAATCATGCCAAATGATGGAATTCTTTTTACACAAATCCCTGTAGAAAACTGATAACTCTAATACAGAGACCTGAAACAAATGATATCCTAAGGAATCTGAGTAACACAATACAACCTCAGCGGAAGTTACTGCCAAGGCATGTTGATGTCTGCATATCAGAGAACTTTGATTTACTCACAAAATGAGGAAATGAAACTCAGTCCTGTTAAATGTTGCACTCAATATACTAATGAAAACTATTGAAACCTTCGAAGTAAGAAGTCTCACTCTCACCTGGAGATGTAATAATATCGTCATTAACTGATTAAGCAATAAGCAACAGCATACCAGTTAAAGCTATAGACTACACACATTCCATCCCCTCCCCACCTGCGCCAGTAAATTTTTAGGTGGCTGGCCAGCAGCCCAGCTCAGTCCCAGCTTGCGCCGGGTCCAGGACCTACCCCCGCTGCGGCTCTACGTTAAAAGTGTATTAGGAGCCAGGCAGGCAGACTCTTAGTTTCAGCTCGTGCCAGGTCCAGTTCAGACTTCCACTCCTGAAAGGTGCTGCTACTACTATCCCATGCTGCTGCCTCTCCATCAGACACAGCAGTGTGGGGCAACAGGCAGACAGTCCACAAGGGGAGTTTGTTTTTAAACTTGCTCCCCTCATGAACCAGCTCCTGCCTGGCACCCCAGAGCAGCAGTGCCAAGTGGCAGGGGGGCTCCACAGGAGTGGGACCAGAGCACACTGGTTGCCAGGCCCACCCCCAGGGACTATAGAATAGTCAAGTAACCAATGAGAACTCATGAGGTTAATCAACTCTTCAATTAACTGATATTTAACATCCCTACTCTCACCACTGTCTACCTTACTGTTAGGGTGCCACTTAGGGACTTGAGGTTTACCTCTCAACTTCAATTTACAGTGGGAAGCAGACAATGAAAGTAAAGAAAAAAAAAAACCCCTGACCTACTTCAATTCTAGCATCTGACAGTGTGGTTATTAAAGGTTAGTTGTATCATTTTGAAAGGCAGACTATACCCTACACAGCAAGCGGGAGCGCACACGTCTCAGGTTGTACATGACCAATTGAATGCAAGAGCATCACTAGGGTACAACTGTCTCGGCACAATAACATGCAAGTGTTTCGCTTTCTCGCCGGGGGAGGAGGGAGGCACCTCAACTTCCTGACCCGGTCATGGCTCCAGGTAACGCTCCTCGGGCGCGGGGGCGGCTCAGTCCCCGCCTCCCTTGCCCGCACCGTTCCCTGCGGAGCGGCAGAAAGCCGAGCGAGGGGGGTTTCCAAAGGCGCTGCCGAGCAGGTGAGTGGCAGGCATCGTGAGCGCCTCTGCGGGCCCCGAGGCCAGGCATTTCAGCGCGGCTGACTCAGCGGGGACACGGCCGGGGAGTCGTGATGCGCCCCCGCCCCGGGCATGCGGAGGCTCCGCCCCGCGCAGCGCG